ACCAATCTCGGATTGGGGAAGAGACGCCGGGAGCCATTGGCGCTTTGAAGAAAAATGAGGTATGTTGTGGTGGGAAAGCGCATGGCCCTCGGGAGCTGGGTATTTTGTCGAAGGGGGACTCAAGGGCAAACGCTGTGGTTTGTGCAATGACTTGCTGATTTCTGCTGCCGAGATTGACTGCGAGGCTGTACACTAACCTAGAGGGTTAGATTCGTAATTTTGTTTGGCTGAGGGCTAACTGAGAGACCTGCCTGTGAGGAAGTTCGTGAGGGACAGATCTGTAATTCCGGGAAAATACAGGCCCGGTACTAACCGAATTCCTACAGCTACCCTAACTGCCTATAGCAGGCCCGGGCTACCCCTAGGACAGACAGGCCCTAAGTGGCCTATTCTGCTAGACGGTCCTATAGCCTATAGCCGGGTCCGGTAGAGGCCGAGAGGCCGAAACAGCAACGGTACCGGTCAGTCAGTCAGTCCGGTCTAGGTCTAGGCTAGAGTAGGAAGTCTATAATTCGGGTAGGGAAACGGATTCGGGACTTTTGGCTTTTCATTTTCGCATGGCAGGGTTTGTGGCTAACCAAGTTTCGCAGCGCTGGAAGTCTACAGCGGCACCTGAGACTTCAGGTTGTGTAGACAGCCACAGCCAGCCTCCCTGAGACAGCCATAGCTGGAGCTGTTCTCAGCGCATCTACCCTCTGGGGGTATCTGCGCTTGGGCGGCTATTCAGAGGCTCTTCGCGGAGYACATGTGGGCGCTGCTGCTACRGTAGCAGCYTGGCAGCCATAGCTGCCTTCTTCCTCGTCAGAGTGACTCATCGGCACTGAGGACTACATCGCTGTTCCTGAYCTTCATCTGGGTGTATGGCGCTGGCCTCTGGGAGGCTGTTTCAGTGCMGCGCWAGACTCTGAGAGTGAAGTAGTGGGTGGAGTGTGTGGTACTGGGGTGGCGAGACATTGGGTTGAACTCTGTAACGATAATGGGGGAATTGAGTTGAGTTGACTCATCATCTGTGTCTTATTCCAATTGTGATCTTCGCAGTGTCATCCTGTGATTGGTTGTTGGGAGTGTGTTAGAGAGAGAGAAACACTGTGTGTATTTTCCCCGTCTGTGCATGGTTGTTATTCCGCTGCTTATCTCTGGGGTGTGTGCAGTTGAACTCTGTCTCCTCTTCCCCTTTGTCTCATGCATGTATGGGCGTGTCTGAGTTCTTCTGTGTGTGAGTGGCAAACAAATTGTCAGACAACCAAGTTCATAACAGTTGGTATCGGAGCGGAGATTGGACTTGGAGCACTGAGGGTTGAGCGCAACAGGGGCATCCTCTTTTTTTGGCCCTAACTGGCGAGAAGGTTCATGGTGGCTCTGTATCTTCAGTGAAGATCCAGTAGAGAAGAGGACATACAAGCGGTGATTGCAAAGCATCAGTGGGCGATTGATCAGGCACCCTGAGCCTGTCTGAGTGCCTGACAGGAATTGGTGAGAATAGGGGTATTTCGCCATCCACCCTTCTAACCTCAGTTGATGATTAGGATCAGGGTGGCGAATTACACCCTAATCTAGTGATAAGTGGGTGGCGGGATCAATCCCAGTATAGCACATAGGGAGGATTGATCGCAGGATCAATCTCCTACTGAATTAACCCTATTCCGGGCTAAATTTAGCACCAGCGGCTAATCCTTGCAGTGGCGAGATATCTTCAGGAGAGTTTCCCCTCGTCACTGAGTCAGATTCAATGAATCTGAGAGTTGGGGCTTAATCGCCACATCATACTGGACAAGAAAAAGAAGTTAAAGGAGATTCTACGCGTGGAAGTCAGTGGAAGAGAGTCTTCAAGCAAGAGGCGAGACTAGGGTCTGGCAACCATAGCCAGAGCTTCATCATCCTCTGAGTCAAACACTGCAAGTGAGTGTGTTCCGTGTGAATCCCTATGTAGCAATTAGTCTAGACTCTGTAGAATCTGAATTGATGGTCTCTCTGTCAGTAGGGTCTCAATTTTGCAGTTGTCAGACAGCAAGACAACCATAGCCATCTTCTTTCTCCGTACCCTGACTCATATCTCACCATCTATTGCCCTGTTCTAACTCAAAATTGTTTTGGGACTGCATGACAGCATTGCGCTGCACCCTGTATGATCATTCTGTGAGTTCTGTACAGAAAAAGTAGTAATACTGTGGATTTGAGTTTTGCGTTGAGTCTATTTATAGCCTGTGCTATCTAGGGTCAGTCACAACTCAAAATTTGTCCGTCAGAATTCAAGTCTGTCAGTCAGGGGTGAATTACAATTCTGTTTCTGTGATGTGTGCTGAAGCGGTAGTCCAGAATTAGTGTATCTGAGTCATTACAGTGAAGTACTGAAAATCGCAATACGTGTGGGTATTTCTGTTGATGTCAACAGTGGCGAAATTTGAGTTGAGGGCTGTCAGGGTCTAAACTACTATATCGCTACTACTTGTCAGGAATAGGAAATCGTGAGTGAATGATTTTACTGGACATTCAGTCTGCCTGACTACTGACCCCAGTGGTTGCATTCTAACCCTAACCGCTTGTGCCTACTAACCCAACTTACCCTGTGAATTGACAGGGCAGCAATTTCTGAGAGTCTGAGTGGATTGTAAATCGCTGCATCTCTTGCTCTCTAACCTTGTTGTTTATTGTTTCTGAAAGGGAAGATGTCTACCGCGACTGACTCAGGTGAGGGAAAGGTGGAAGTAGTAGTCAAGGAGGAAGAGAAATCTTCCCCCTGAACTCCTACCCCTCCTCTCACCCCTGCTCAGCGGCGCAAGAGAGAGATTGAGGTCAAATTGCGAGAGCGACAGGCGCTGCTCGCAGAAGTTGAGAGACAGGAGGCAGCTGAATGGGAGGCTGCAACAGATGCCTCCCGCAAGGAGTTTCTGCTGCAGCAAGCCGAGAAGACTGTTTCTGATGAGAGGGTAGCCCTGTGTACCAGGTACTTGGCTGAGCTGGTGATTCTGTAAAACAAAATCACAACCATCCACTTTACTAACTGGGATGATCGAATACAGCGTCTGGAAACCAGAGTAGGCGACCTGGGAACTCAGCAGTCCAAGATCCTGGATGCTATCCAGAATCTGATTGCTCAGTTAACAGCAGCCAACCTGATCACCCCTCTGGTACTTGTCGTCCCCTCTCCAAAACCCAAAAGGCCTTCTCAGCCTCCTTCACCCCCTGGATCGCCTCACTCCTCTCACAAGTCATCTCCCTCTGTCTCCTCCCAGGCTAAAGCCAAACCTCCTCCATGTTTCGCTGCTGTAGTTGCTGGGGATCAACGAGGACCCAAGATCCCTGCACCCAACAAATTCAAGGGCGATGACCCAAAAATTGATGTTGGGGACTGGGCAGCAGGAACCCGGGCTTACTTGAAGGGGTTCCAGTGCCCGGAACAGCAGAAAGTGGCCACCGTTGTGGGGCTGCTGGAGGGCCCAGCCCAGAAATGGGCTACATCTACAACCAGTGCCCACTCACAGACTTTGGAGGACTGGGCCCTAGCCCTGGGAGTGGACAAACTTTTGCAGGCCCTGGAGGACAGGTTTGTAGACAAGGAGCGTGCACGTAAGGCTGCTGACAAGATCGTACGCCTTGGACAGCAGCGCTACAGTGGCAGTCTGCAGGCCCTCTTTGCTGAGTTTGAGCAGCTAACCTCCACCCCTGGCTTGGTTATGTCTGCCAATGATTTGCCGACTAACTTTTGCAGGGCTGCGCCTGAAAAGTTTTCTGTTGCATTGTACAGCGCAGTGCATAAAGACTGGAGATGTATTGGCCGCGCAGCACTGGATATGGAGGCCAAGCTCCATGTACAGGCCCCTTCCTGTGATAGGAAGAGAGGTGCTTTCCCTCGCGGTGGTAGAAGGGGAAAAGCGGCCTTTGCACATGCAGGATCTGCGTCATCTTCTGATGCAGGATCCAGGCCTGGTACACCGCCACGTGGGACTGCATCAGCTGCTGTCACAGATGTTGCAGCGGCCATGCAGCAACTGCAGGCTGTGCTGGGGGCCTTCCAAAAGCCGGATCTTCCTCCAGCACAGCCTCCAGCAGCAAGGGGAAGAGCCAGGGACGTCGCTCTTCAACCCCTGCCCGGTGCCCTAACTTGCCACGTGACGTCCGCTTCCCAACAGACCCTCGGAATCCCAACACCCTTCCCTGGCATGATCTAAAAATTCAGGAAGGGGTGTGGAGAAAGAGGAAGGAGAGGGGAGTTTGTTTGAGGTGTGAGGGACAACATTTTATGAAGGACTGTCCCTACATGCCCAGTCCAGCTCAGTCCAAAAACTGAAGCTGACCTTGGAGACTGCAGTTCCCTCCAGTGCTGCACCTGCATCTGCATCTGCAGCAGCTTCAGTTGAGACATCTGTCCTTCCCAGTGTGGGGACTGCACGGGCAGCATCCTTCAGTTATGAGGATCTTGACCCGGATTAGGAACCGGATCAGTCTGAGTGTCAATCACTTGGTGCTTTTTTCTTTCATATGAAAGAACAAAAGAAAAGCAAGTCTGACCTCATACTCCTTCGGCCCCTGATCAATCACAGCAGAATCAAAGGGCTGCTGGACTGTGGAGGCACCCGAAATTTCATGTCTCCTAGGGCAATCAAAAAACTGCATCCGGGCATGAAAGTGGTGCAACTGCAACAACCGCTGCAGGTCAGGATAGGTGACTCCACTGTACTGACTATCAGGGAGAAGGTCAGGGCCATCCCCGTTACCTTCGATAGTGCTGGAGAAGTCAGACATAGTCTGAACTTCTACATATTCCTTGATCTCCCCTTTGACCTGGTTTTCTCTATGTAGTGGCTGAAAGTAGTCAACCCAAGGATCGACTGGCAGATCCCCAAGGTTGAGTTGCCAAACAGCAAGGGGGTGTATCAGCCATGCATGATTGCTGCTGAACACCACCCTAAGATCTCATGCTTCTGCCTGAGAGCGAGAGAGTTTTATGCTCTCTCACGCCAGTATGACCACGAGCATCTGTTTATAGCTCTGGTCAAGCAGACAGACGCCCCCACTGTTTCCTGTCCTCCTGAGATACAGCAGGTGGTTGACCAGTATGCGGATCTGATGCAGGAGCCCTTTGGGTTACCCAACCGGCCAACCAAGCATCACATTGAGCTGCTGCCTGGAGCGGTCCCTCCCAAGGGCCGCATCTATAGGATGTCCCCTGCTCAGCTTGAGGAGCTCAGACGACAGCTTGAGACCCTGACCAGAAAAGGCTGGATCAGGCCCAACACTTTTGAATTCGGCGCTCCAGTCCTCTTTGTCCCAAAAGGGAGTGGCGAGTTCAGAATGTGCATCGACTACAGGGGTCTCAACAAGATCACTAGGAAGAGTACAGAGCCACTTCCTAGGATCGATGACCTTCTGGACATGGTCCAGGGATGCACCMTTTTCAGCRAAGTCGACCTCAAGTYTKGTTATCACCAGATTGAGATGGCAGAGGAGGATGTCCACAAGACAACCTTCAAAACCAGATATGGTACTTATGAGTATCTGGTTATGCCATTTGGACTCTGCAATGCACCTGGCACGTTCCAGACAGAGATGCACCGCATCTTCAAGCCTTACCTGGAAAAGTTTATGGTTGTCTACCTGGATGATATCCTGGTATTCAGCAAAACTACCAGGGAACATGCGGAGCACCTGGCTCTGGTTCTTCAGTCATTACGTGACAGCCAATATAAGATCAACAAAGAGAAGTCCTCTTTTGGAGTTCCCTCTGTGATCTACCTGGGTCATGTAATCTTTGGAGAAGGTCTGGCCCCYGAAGCARCCAAAATTGCTGGTATTCAGRACTGGCCACAGCCCCAGAYAGTGAGAGATGTCTGGTCTTTCTTGGGTCTGGCCTCATACTACAGAAAGTTCGTCAGGAACTTTTCTACAGTGGCTGCACCCCTGACTAACCTTAAAAAGAAAGACACTCCCTTTCTTTGGTCTCTTCACTGCCAGATGACCTTTGCACGACTCAAACAGGCCTTGACTCGTGCCCCTGTTCTGAAGCTACCTGACCCCACTTTGCCATTTGTCCTGACCACTGACGCCATTCAGTATGGCATTGGGGCAGTACTTCAGCAGGATGATGGGAATGGTCTGAGACCTGTCGAGTTCATGAGTAAGAAGATCAAGACTCAGAAGCTTCAGGACCATACCTACGAGAAAGAGCTATATGCTCTTGTCAGTGCCCTGAAACATTGGAAGCACTTTCTCCTGGGCAGGCACATCAAGATCTTCTCTGATCATTCCACTTTGTAGTGGTTAAAGTCCCARGGAGAGYTGRATGACAAGTTGGCTTGCTACATTCAGTTCATCGACCTGTTTGACTTTGAACTGAAACACAAGAAGGGCTGCTACAATAAGGTAGCTGACGCCCTCTCTCGTAGGCCTGATTCTTTTGCGYTGATCTCCTCCACTCACTCCTTTGGGGAGGAGGTCCGTCAGATCATTACTCGCTTACTGCCTCAGGATCCGACTTATGGACCCATCGTCAAGAATCTGCAAGCAGATCCCAATTCTGAACCWGGCTATGCTATGAGTTCAGATCTGCTGTACACTTACAGCAGAGGAGAGGACCGCTTATGTATTCCTGAGGATTARCAGCTGAGGACACTGCTGATGTYAGAGTGCCACGATGCACGTGGACACTTTGGGTTCTTAARGTCGTATGCAGCCCTGTCGCAGCGCTTCTTCTGGAAGGAGATGCGGAGTGATATGCTGCGCTTTGTGGAAACCTGTGAGCTATGTCAGAGGAACAAGGTTCAACGGAAACCTCCTCTGGGACTGCTCAAACCTTTGTCCATACCTGATGGTCCTGCACAGTCTGTATCCATTGATTTCACAGACTTAGGCAAGACCACCCCTCGTGGCATGCGTCAGGTTATGGTCTGCGTTGACAGGTTCTCCAAATACGCAGAGTCCATCCCCTTACGAGAGATAGCGAGGGTCCCTGTTGTGAGAGCATCCTTCTTTGAGAGGTGGGTCACGCACCATGGACCGCCCACTTCTATTGTTAAAGATCGAGATCCCCGATTTTGCAGCGATGAGTGGCAGTCCTATTGTAAGGATTACCTACACTCTCGATTGGATATGACTTCTGGTCGTCATCTTGAAGCCAATGGTCAGGCTGAAGTGATGAACCAGATCTTGTTCCAATTGCTGCGTCCTGTCATCTCACCAGATCAACAGGACTGGGACCTCCWTCTCGCTCATGCACAGCTCRTGTATAACATGTTTGTCCACTCCTCGACTGGATTCAGTCCCTATCGACTACATTGGGGACGAGAGCCACGTCAGCCTCTCGATGATATCATCGACAAGGCTAAGACAGACCTGACCCCAGGCACCGCAGAGTTCACCAGACGCTATCGTCTGGATGTGGAAAGAGCTCGGGCGAACTTGTTCAAAGCCCAAAAGGCTATGATTGAACAAGCTAATCGCCATCGCAGACCTTCCCCCATCCGCACTAGTGATTATGTCTGGGTGGCCAGTTCAAAGTTGTCGAGGGAGGAGGATATTTCTCCTAAGCCGTTGCCACGATACCTCGGTCCGTAGCAGGTGTTAGATACAGTAGGGGCTGATCCCTTTGGTCCGTCCTACACCATTGACGTCCCTCTGCATCTACGTACCTATCCGGTCTTCCATGCATCTAAGCTGCTTCCCTTCACTCCAGCTGATGCATTCCCTGACCGGCCCCCTCAGTGGGGTCCACCAATCCCTGGTAAGAGATATGACGTGGAGGCCATTGAGGATGAGTGGGGCACTGGCCCCGACAGGCAGTATCTTGTGAAGTTTGCCTTCCAACCCCCGACTGAGAATCGGTGGTATTACAGGAAGGGCCTTCTCAAGACAGCAAAGTCTATTGTACTGCAGTATGAAGCGGCTCAGAAGGGTAACCTTCGCCGTTCACCGCGTCTGCACCCCTAGCTCGGAGGTCCTCGCTCCCGGGGAGGGTAAGCCTGCATTGACTTGCTGATTTCTGCTGCCGAGATTGACTGCGAGGCTGTACACTAACCTAGAGGGTTAGATTTGTAATTTTGTTTGGCTGAGGGCTAACCGAGAGACCTGCCTGTGAGGAAATTCGTGAGGGACAGATCTGTAATTCCGGGAAAATACAGGCCCGGTACTAACCGAATTCCTACAGCTACCCTAACTGCCTATAGCAGGCCCGGGCTACCCCTAGGACAGACAGGCCCTAAGTGGCCTATTCTGCTAGACGGTCCTATAGCCTATAGCCGGGTCCGGTAGAGGCCGAGAGGCCGAAACAGCAACGGTACCGGTCAGTCAGTCAGTCCGGTCTAGGTCTAGGCTAGAGTAGGAAGTCTATAATTCAGGTAGGGAAACGGATTCGGGACTTTTGGCTTTTCATTTTCGCATGGCAGCGTTTGTGGCCAACCAAGTTTCGCAGCGCTGGAAGTCTACAGCGGCACCTGAGACTTCAGCTTGTGTAGACAGCCATAGCCGGCCTCCCTGAGACAGCCATAGCTGGAGCTGTTCTCAGCGCATCTACCCTCTGGGGGTATCTGCGCTTGGGCGGCTATTCAGAGGCTCTTCGCGGAGYACATGTGGGCGCTGCTGCTACRGTAGCAGCYTGGCAGCCATAGCTGCCTTCTTCCTCGTCAGAGTGACTCATCGGCACTGAGGACTACATCGCTGTTCCTGAYCTTCATCTGGGTGTATGGCGCTGGCCTCTGGGAGGCTGTTTCAGTGCMGCGCWAGACTCTGAGAGTGAAGTAGTGGGTGGAGTGTGTGGTACTGGGGTGGCGAGACATTGGGTTGAACTCTGTAACGATAATGGGGGAATTGAGTTGAGTTGGCTCATCATCTGTGTCTTATTCCAATTGTGATCTTCGCAGTGTCATCCTGTGATTGGTTGTTGGGAGTGTGTCAGCGAGAGAGAAACACTGTGTATTCTCCCCGTCTGTGCATGGTTGTTATTCCGCTGCTTATCTCTGGTCTGTGTGCAGTTGGACTCTGTCTCCTCTTCCCCTTTGTCTCATGCATGTATGGGCGTGTGTGAGTTCTTCTGTGTGTGAGTGGCAAACAAATTGTCAGACAACCGAGTTCATAACATTTGTTTGAATTCAACAATAACAGTGGAGTTGGAAGTGGGCGTTGGGGTGAGAGGTGGCTGTCTCTCACGGGCCTGTGCGCTGGCTTGTTTGGCGGTGGAACGCGGGGCGAATCCCTTGAGGCGGGTGCCAGTGAAAGGAAGGGCTGAAAGGTGTGATGTTGGTGGTCAGTCTCGGTGGCTGAGCTCTTTTCCCCAGTCCCTCTCCACCCCTTACCCGCCTTTCTGTCCTTTGCTGGCTGCTGCACAGCTTTGCTCGCTGCTCGTTGTATTCTGCACCTATGTCTTCCCTACTCCTGCTCATTACTACTTTCCAGTCTTTATGTTTGCTGTGCCACGTGTTGCATGTGATTGAACTTTGAAATCGCCAAACATACCCTGTTTCGACCTGTGTGCATGATGTTTTGCAGCTGACTTGCAGAGCTGTCCTGCGGGCCCAAAAGGGCTCCTTGCCTGTAGGTACAGCACCGGGACTTCCCAGGAGGTCACCCATCCCAGAACTATTCCGGCCCAACAGCCAACAGTGCTTGGCTTCCGAGTTCGGATGGGATCGGGTGCTTTAGCCGTCCTATGAACGTACCATGAAGAGGGGTGGCACTGGCTTCCCCCGAATGAACAGTAGCACATCGGTGCCCATCGGGCGATGGCCCGATCGAGCCTGCTGCTCGGTGGAACGGAGCAAATGCATTGGAGAGCTTCTGGGAAATTTGTCACCCATCGGGAACGAAACGAGTGGTTACTGGGAACGCTGAAGGATGAGGCAACAGTCGCCGCAAAGGCGCGCCAGATACATGATACATGACGGTATGCGACGCAGCACGGATGGTGGAGCAGAGCCCTTGGGGAGTAACGACGATCCTTGGTTCCGACCGCTTGTTCCCCGGCGGAACGCAGGGCAATAGCTTTGCGTGGTGAACACTGTGAACGGACTAGGAGCACTTGTCATGGGGGGAAGGTGTTTTGTGGGGTTTCCCTTATGCCGAGTGCTCGACGTCTATTTGCAGGGGGAGCAGGGTGGTTCCTTAGCTGCCGAAGCAAGGGCGAACGGATGCGAAATCGTCTGCAGGCCGACGGCGAAGACTCCCCCTTCGGTAAGAAAATAAGTTTAAGGGTAAGACCCTTCTCCCTACCTGAGAGTCAGCTGCGGCAGGTGCTGTTTGTGCTAGTATACGCTGTGCTGATTGGTGTGATGTGGTGTGGTGTGGCATGGCGTGGTGTGCTGTTGTGTGCTGTCCTATATGCAGCGAAGGTGGGTGCAGTACGGTGTCTCTCACTTGCTTTGTGAGGTGGGTGCACATCATCCCATCTGTGCTGTTGTGTGCTGTGGTGGGTGTGGTGTGCTGCCCTATATGCAGCGAAGGTGG